TGGGTGTCCCACTTCTTCTGCATCAGATCACCGATGTAAGTTCTAATGCCAGCTTTGTAATCAGAATATGGAATAAGAAGTGGTGTCACAGATTTATTTAGTGCTGCCTTGGCAGCAAGATCAGCCATTGTGTTCCCAGAAATGCCAACGTGGCTGGGTAACCAACAAAAGACGATGTCGCACTGGCCAGTAGCAAGCTCATTATACAATTCAATAATTTCTAATAAAAGTGGATGTTTACAAGAAAGATTTTTTTATAGCCTGTAGACACGAAAGAGAATCTGAAAATCTGATATATTGTTTATATTTACGGTGTTTATTAATATATTTAAGAGCTGTTAATATGGCATTAGCTTCTGCTGTGAAAATAGAGCTGTTAACTGGTAGTCGAGAAGAGATTGTTCTGGATCCAATGACAGTGGCACAAGCCACCACACCACCATCCTTGGACCAATCTGTAAATTAGGATTTATATGTATTATATTTACATTTTAATTGATTATATTCTTGTTTATATTGTAATTCATTTGTTTCCGATTTTTAAAATGTTGTAAGTGTTAAGTCAACTTCTGGTCTAACTAACTGCCAAGGAGGAGAAGAAAGAAGACGGGAAGGAGCTATATTTTCCAGCTCAATGCCGGCAGCAGCAATAAATGGCTTAATTCTGAGCCCAAGAGGCGGAACAAGAGAAGCTTTTTGTTATACAAATCCTCATAAAGAGGATTAAAGACACAGTGAAATGCAGGATTAGACTCGTTAGAATAGAATTTTGTAATATATTGTAAAGATAATTTTATACGGCGTTGGTTAAGAGAAGGTTCATCTGCCTCGACGTAAAGTATGTCAACAGGAGAAGTTCTGAAGGACCCAAGACAAAGTCTCAGACCTTGATGGTGAACTGAATCTAAGAGTTTTAGGTTGCTTTTACAGGCTCCACCATATACGATGGAGCCATAATCAAGCTTCGAGCGGACAAGTGATCTGTAAAGGTGTAGGAGCGTAGCTTGATCCCCTTCCCACCTTGAATTAGACACGACTTTCAATAAATCGAGTGCCTTCAGGCATTTAGTTTTTAGAGATTTGATATGCGGAAGAAAAGTTAAATGGGAGTCGAAAATGAGACCTAAGAACTTGGCCTCTTTTACAACCTTGATGGGAGTGCCATTTATAAACAGCTCTGGGTCTTTATGTGGTTTATATTTAAGGCAGAAATGTATGCAATTAGTTTTTGATTTAGAAAATTTAAAGCCGTTTTCAAGACACCATTTATGTATTTTATTTAAACACAACTGCAGTTGCCATTCAATAGTTTGCATATTCTTACCGTGACAAGAAATTTTAAAATCATCCTCAAAAAGTGATCCATCAATTGAATCGTTTAAAACCTTGGATAAGCTGTTGATCTTAATGCTAAATAAATGACAGGCAAAATACTTCCTTGGGGGACACCCTGATCCTGATTATAATGGTCACACAGGGTTGAACCCACTCGGACTTGAAATTGCCTGTCTTTTAAAAACTGTGATATAAAAAGAGGCAAACGGCCTCTCAAACCAAAGTCATGTAAATCCTTCAAAATGCCATGCTTCCATGTTGTATCATAAGCTTTCTCAAGATCAAAGAAAATTGATACAGCATGTTGTTTATTTACTATAGCATTTTTAACAAAGGATTCTAAACGTACCAAATGATCAATGGTACTACGATTTTTCCTGAAACCACATTAAATATTTGTTATAAGGTTATTGGTTTCAAGATACCAAGTTAATCTATTATTCACCATACGCTCCATGGTTTTACAAACACAGCTAGTTAGAGAGATCGGCCTGTAATTCGACGGATCTGTATGATCCTTGCCAGGTTTTGGTATTGGGACTACAATGGCATTACGCCATGAAGGAGGAAATTCTCCAGACGTCCAAATATATGGTCAAATATATCTAAAAGTGTCATCAGACATGGTTCCAGTAAGTGTTTCAGTAGCTCAGGTAATGTATATTGTCATCACCCGCTGCAGTGTCATGAGCTTGCTCAAGAGCAGTATGTAGCTCATGTAATGAAAACACTTCATTATATTCTTCACCGTTATGTGATTCGAAATTAAGTTTTGTCTTTTCCTGTTGCTTCTGATATCTCTGAAACTCAGGGACATAATTTGCCGATGATGAATTTTTGGCAAGAGTTTCGCCAATTTTATCTGAAATTTTAGACTTGTCAGTTATTAAATTATCGCCATCTTTAAGATGGTGAACAGCAGATTTTGAACCTTTGCCTTTAATTCTTTGAACCATGTTCCATACTATGGACATTGGCGTACGTGAATTAACTTTGGAGACATAATTTCTCCAAGATTGTCGTTTGTTTTGTTTAAAGGTACGACACGCCTTTGCATTGAGTATTTTAAATTTATTTAAGTTATGGACAGTTGGATGATGGCGGAAATAACGCTCTGCCTTTTTCCTCGCTTTTCTGGCTTGTCTACAATCTGTATTAAACCATGGTTTTCGTACATGTGGAGTCGTAGAGGACTTTGGTATACACTCATCAGCTATTTCATTTAAAACGTCAGCAAAAATCTGAATGGGATCAGTTACGTCACTGAAGCATTCAGGTCGTAATTTCGATTAACATATAGTTTGAAATAAGGACCAGTTAGCCTTCGAAAAATTCCATCTTGTATATGATGGAGAATCAGATGGAGTTATTTCTGAAAGAATAGTTAGGAAGTGGTCACTTCCACAGAGGTCACTATGAACAGACCAATCAAATTCATTTAGGAGGTTAGTGTCTGCAAGAGACAGATCTAGAACAGAATAGGTTTCGGTTGCTGGATGCAGGTAAGTGCTTGAATCATCATTGTATATACATAGGTCATTATTGGAGATAAAATCTTCCAGTATTTTACCTTTAGTATTAGTGTTTTTACCACCCCAGAGCGGGTTGTGACCATTTAGGTCACCCATAATAACACAGGGCTTCGGGAGTTGATCATAGAGTGACTGTAGATCAGTCTGCTGAAGTGCCCATGAGGGCGGAATATATACAGAGCATAATGTAAATGCTACACCCAGAGTAAGTCGCACTGCAACAGCTTGGAGATTAGTTTTAAGTTTAACAGGGCTTTGAATAACATCCTGTCGTATAAGGATAGAAGATCCCCCAGTGGCCCTATCACCCAGATGAGAATAATGATGAAAGGCTGTAAACTGGCGTAAAGTAAAATTATCCATCTGTTTCAGATGTGTTTCTTGCAGACAGAATGCTGATGGTGTTAGATCCTGGACTAATAGCTGTAGTTCATTAAAGTTAGTTCTCAGACCTCTACAATTCCACTGTACGATATTAGTAAAATGACCTATCTTTTAGGTGGATTGATAGGGGACCTACCCCTCACTTTCTTCGAGGGCGACGAGCTATGTGCCCTGGGATGGATGCTTTCTGACACATCCATGTCCTCGAGTGAACCATATTTGTTATATAATTGTATACGGTTTTCTGAACCCTTAGAGGGTCTACCACTTTTTTGCACACTTTCCGTCCTAGGTTTAAATGTATTTTTGACCACACTCTTTTAAATTGTGTCAGATCCCGTCTTCTGAGTGGACAATAATTGTACTTCATCCTGAACTTTGGTTTGTAACGACTCTGAAGTCTGACTAGATTGTTCAGGTTTAAGAAGGTGAGGGGTATCGTTTGTAACCCAAGTCAAGTCTGTTTGACACTCTATTGAAATACTGGATACTGGCGAATTTACTTTTGACAAGCTTTCGGAGGGTGTCCTGACGACTGATGCATATGAATCATTTGGAACTGTTGAATCAACAAGCTTTTTAGCATCAGCGAAGCTAATGTTTTGAGATATTTAATCTTGTTTATTTCCATTTGTTTTTTCCATATTGGGCAGTCTTTAGAAAAGGAGGAATGATTACCTGAACAATTTGTGCATTGTTTGAAGGCACTATCACAATCTTCAGTTACGTGTGAAGTTTCGCTACAGTGAGCACATGTTGTAGGCTTTGTGCAAGTGTTGACACCGTGGCCATACTTTTGGCATCTGAAACATCACAAGGGATTTGTGATGTAAATATCAACTGTGATATTACAGTAACCAACCTTTACAGACTTTGGAGGATTTGGTGAAGAGAACGAAAAGAGGTACGTGTTTGTCGGAATTATGTCATTGTTTTTGCGGGTGGTAAATCGCTTGACATACATGTATGTCACTCCCTGATCTTTCATTTCGGATACGATGTCCAGTTCTGACATGTCGGCCAACAAACGATCTCTGTCTCTTATAATTCCTTTGCTGGTGTTCAGTGTTCTGTGCGCAGTAACTGAAACGTGGCTTCCAGCAAATGTTTCGGTAGTCATCAGGTTGGCAGCTTGTTGTTTCCGAAGGCATTCAATCAATAATGATCCCGAACGCAAGCGTTTTATGTTCTTTACTTCACCTGCGATGCCATATATACCCTTAAAATCACAAAAGGATTCAGCTTTAGTGGTGTCTCGTCTACAGTGTCGAGAACCAGGAAACGTTGCCAATTTTCTGTTGATTTGGATGGTCTCTGCTCATCATCATTATCGAGTGGACGTTTTTTTTTTTGGTGGGGGTTTGGTAATCCATGGTAAGATTAATTTGATTCATCATCCATCCATCCATCCATCATCATCATTGTCACAAGGACAATGCTAATCACAAGTGGGTTTCCGACTTGCAGCACCAAGGATACCTGGATGATATACTCAAGCAGAACAATCAACAAGCAATTATTCCACCAGATTGGCCCATGAGCCACTGCCTTCTGGACACAGGACTCTAGGCAAATTACTAAATCGCAGTTGTACAATCAAAATATAAATATATCATCTTGAAGCCAAGACCACTGACAAAAATTTGAAATAATTTCTAAAATATGTGCAGCAAAATTTACATGTACAGGGCTTAACATGACCAGCCGATTGATAGAACCGGGCCAGTTCTACCACCCGTCTAGGTGAAGTAAGGGGCGAAGTGGTGTGTTGGGCAGAGGAACACTGTTCCTGGAACCAGTGCCCTCAACCACCAGACTCCCGTCCTCCACCGACACAGGGGCGCAACCCACGGCAAACGGGTTGGTGGACCAAATATACCCCCGGGTCCACAATGGGGGTCGAAGAGCGTTTAGCGTTACCCAGCACCCACCACGAAGGAGGTGGCTCTTCACGGGTGCCACTTCATCCAGGAGGAGGCCAAAGAACTTTGGAGGGGAATCGATGTATTCTGTCACCATGATGTTGTGTTGGTAATTGCCGATGATAGAAGGCAACACTCTTGCCCAGAAGAAAGAAGGGAGATCATCTGGGGATGTGTTCTCTGGATCTTTGGATTCAGGCTTATGGACGACGTAACTGATACAAAAGTCTTCATCGAAGATGCCCCAGTCCTTCACCTGATAACGTTCTTCCTGGAGGATTTCAAGGAGCTACTGTATGAAGTGATAATATAATCGTCTGTTTGTCTTCAGTACTTTAAAGGGGCAATGCTGGCAGCATATACACAGGCACCGATAATTAAAGTAGAGGTTATTGTGTCATATTGTGCACTATACGCAGAAGAGATGCAGATGTTTCATCTCATATCATAGTGCACCGTATCCTTCCATAATGCTTTCCTTCATGTAATCACCCATCGTTAGTTGTAATGCTTCACGTACTGGTCCGGGTGCCAGTAACTGCAATGTTTCACTTGGTCCATTCTAGTTGGTCCATCTTTTGTTGTTGTAATGTTTCACTTCATATCGGGGTCCATCTTTTGTTGTTGTAATGTTTCACTTCATATCGGGGTCCATCTTTTGTTGTTGTAATGTTTCACTTCATATCGGGGTCCATCTTTTGTTGTTGTAATGTTTCACTTCATATCGGGGTCCATCTTTTGTTGTTGTAATGTTTCACTTCATATCGGGGTCCATCTTTTGTTGTTGTAATGTTTCACTTCATATCGGGTCCATCTTTTGTTGTTGTAATCATATCGGGGGTCCATCTTTTGTTGTTGTAATGTTTCACTTCATATCGGGGTCCATCTTTTGTTGTAATGTTTCACTTCATATCGGGGTCCATCTTTTGTTGTTGTAATGTTTCACTTCATATCGTGGTCCATCTTTTGTTGTTGTAATGTTTCACTTCATATCGTGGTCCATCTCTAGTTGTTGTAATGTTTCACTTCATATCGGGGTCCATCTCTAGTTGTTGTAATGTTTCACTTCATATCGGGGTCCATCTTTTGTTGTAATGTTTCACTTCATATCGGGGTCCATCTTTTGTTGTTGTAATGTTTCACTTCATATCGGGGTCCATCTCTAGTTGTTGTAATGTTTCACTTCATATCGTGGTCCATCTCTAGTTGTTGTAATGTTTCACTTCATATCGGGGTCCATCTCTAGTTGTTGTAATGTTTCACTTCATATCGTGGTCCATCTCTAGTTGTTGTAATGTTTCACTTCATATCGTGGTCCATCTCTAGTGCGACTGATGACCCACTCGACTGATCCTGAGGTTTTATAGGCAGCAGCAGCGTGAGCTATGACGTCACTTCAAATCGCGTCACGATTTTTGTTCACTCCTTATAGCCGTAGGGGAGAGTTTCCACTGGGATGCCTTGTTGGCCGTACTGGACTTGACGTTAGGTGTAGACCATGCGATACTCTTTGGTGGTGTCCTTGGACAGCAACACGTTGCCCTGGCGAAGTCCTCCGCGAATGATGCGGTGCGGGTACGGGACAGTGATGCTGACTTGATCCCTCTGACAGACGAGGTTCTTTATGTTGTCAAAGTGGACATGTTGGCTCGCCCTGTGATTCAGAGTAAATCCTCGGACTTTTCTGATGCCTACACTACCGTCAGGTTGAGGATGGCGCAGCTTGTAGGTGTAGTTCTTGGGTCCTCCTGAGACAAAGGCTTGAATGCTGTTGCCCCCTCGGTCAGTTCCCCTAAGGTATCTCCCAGTGGAGGGTTCTAGCTTAGTGCACGGTGAATGTAGATGATACTGTCCATATCAAAATACAGTACACGCCGATCCAAGGGTTTCAAGTAGGAATACAGCTTGAGACGGGCTTGTGCTGTCACCCAGGCTGCAATGACCACATTGTGGGTGGGATGCGGGTCGTGAAATTCTGACTGAGGTTCATAAGTGACACACACGAGGTCCTCGTTGACGAAGTGCACGTCCTTTACCACACACCGTTCATCCCGGAGGAGGGCAAAGAACCTCTCAGGGGAACTGATGTATTCGGTCTTGTCAAACCCGACGCGTTGGCCAAACTTGCCCCAGTGGTTGTTCAGGCAAGCTTTAGCCAGGGCACATAGTCGGATGTGAGCAGGATCCAAGGTGACTCCATCTTTTCGCTGAATCTCCCTGATGTAAGCGTCTGGGTCTGAACAGCCTTCTGGATATCCGCTGGCCTCTTGCTTGATCTTGAAGAAATTGTTCACATACTTGGCAAACAGTCCTCCCTCTTGAGTGTCAGGGTCGTAGGTGGTGAGCGTGTCAAAGTGCCAAGCCTCAAAGATAGCCACACTCTCGAACGGCATACTGAAGCTCCTTGCTGACGTACGTGCTGATCTATGCACGGTCTTCATCCCCGTGAGGGCAGGAACCAGCCAACTGTGCTTCAGCACAAGCACGACACAGAGGAAATAACAACTTGAGAGTAGCGGGGGTCGATAACCTTGCGGAGGTATGATGGAGATGGTGCGGGGTTCCAAAAACAGTTTTCGGAAGGTGAACATGCAAGCCATGGGTAGAGTCACTGCTTCATAGAAGGGTCCACGTTGTTTTGTTGGATGAACATGTTGCGGAATGCAGCACAGCCTCGACGCAAAATGTCCACATCACTCTGGCAGTAAGTCAGCAATTCCTCATCCAGATAAAAGACAGTCCCTTAAGCCACGCGTGCGCCATACCAGGCCAAGAAAGCTTTCCGTTCGGCAGGAAACATGCCGTCAGGATCGTAGGTAGAAACGGGAGGATAAGGACCCACATAGCCTTGGTGAGCTTCGGTGTTGAAGAAATGAGGGAAGTAACCTTTCTTGAGTTCCATCAACGCAAATGTTTTTGGAAACTGCTTCAGAGCCATTGTGAGGAAATTGAGTGAATCACGTTCATCTGCAAGATGTGATTCCTTCTTGTTTTGTTTCTTTTCCGCCAGACGCATCAGCCAGTCGCCCATGTCCTTCAAGGTCGTAGACCCCGAAACACTTTGATGTGGCTAGGCCCTTCTCCTTCCTTAAGCCAGGGACACTTTTCACACAGTTGATCCGAAGCCTTGGAAATATATTCTCCGCATCCCAGATGCACCACACACAAGTTGGGAACACGAGTACCTTGATCTTGGGTACATTCAAAATCGTAGAGGGGCGGCCGGGTAGCCTGATGGTTAAAACGTTCTCTCGTCACGCCGAAGACCCGGGTTCGATTCCCCACATGGGTACAATGTGTGAAGCTCAATTCTGGTGTCCCCCGCCGTGATATTGCTGGAATATTGCTAAAAGCGGCGTTAAACCAAACTCACTCACTCACTCAAAATCGTAGAAGATGAACTGACGCTGTTGTCGTTCTTTGTCTTCAACCTTGTTTTCACCGTCTTCATCTTGTGTGGGTGGTTTGAAGACGGTCATGTAGCACTGGTGGTTGGGTTCCAAAGGTTCTTTGCAGATCTTGCAGTTACGATATGTGCCGCACTGGTGGTTGGCCATGCCATGGATTTTTCTCACGTTGACTTTGGCCAGGCATCGATGACAAGTGTGGATGGTGGAGCAGGTGCTGGGATGCTTGGCGGAGGCCATCCGATGGCGTTGAAAGCAGTAAGGGTTTCAGAACCACCTGCCACATTGGAGACAGGAAAGTCCTCCATTGTCCACGTCGCCACAGAATCCAGGACATCGGCACCAGTGGCATTGATATTCTCGGGTGCAGCGATGTTCTTCAGTGTGGTCGTATCCTTGGTCACAGATTTCACAGTAGTAATTATAACCTGTAAAGGCTGTCATGGATGTAATGACATCGTAATGCTGATGGTGATGATACAAGTAAAGGATCTTGGTGGGTTGAGGCACTTCACTCTTGTACAGGAGGAGATTCATGACATCTTGGGAGTAGATTTTGAGTTGGTAGTAGGGCGCCAAACGTTGACTGAACAACTCCCACGTGGCACGCCCTGTACAAGGGCCTTCGGAGATCTTGAGTTGATGAAATAAGCCCTTGGCGGCCTTCAACTGCGCTGGTCTTCGTTCGCTCACGTATGTATCGCCATTGCTTGGTCCATTCCTTGGTCACAGGATCCGGTTTGTGTTCATGGTGACCGCCCACGACCAGGGCACGGGCAAAGCAGAGTTGATCATCATTCTTGATTTGTACGATGCATTGCTTCTTTTCCAGGAAAGTGTTTAAGCCGTGGCCATCCGTGCCCCTGGCCTATACGATCAGGATCTTCTAAATGCAGTAAGTATAAGTAGTATATACAGTAGCGGTACGAGATCAATTCCAAGAAAAGACTCTGTAAAGCTTTGTTTATGAAATAATGCTTTTGTCAGGCCCTTATCTCTCTCCGCTAGTGTGTATACCACTGTTTGAATCCCTAGTTAACTTCCTGGTCACTATGACCGCGAACCAACACTTCCTGGTTACGTGATACTATTGTGATCGCCCTATATCATGTTGACCTCGACGAAACAGTTTAATGTGAATTGCCTATGAGCTCTTTGGTCTTCGTGATGAAGGCTTGCCGGGCTTGTTGTACCCCTTGTTCTATGTACTTTTTTTTCTCTGCTTCGCTGACGGCAGTCTTACGAGACTTGGTTCGAATCTCTTGTTTCATCTCGTGGTACTTGGTGAGTTCAGAGAGGACCAAACGAAACTCCTCCTCCGAGATCTTGTTGTCTGTGAGTGCCGTGGAGATATGGTCACTTACCGTGTTCAGCTTTGCTTCAGCTAGAACCCTGATCTCGTCGTGCTTCAAAGCTTTACAATGCAGTCTG